TTCATCCGATGTTCATCGATTCTTCTCGAACGCGACGGGAAATTTCATCGGCCGGGGAAACACCAAGCAAGGAAATCGAGAAATGAAATAAACGTTGCTGGGAAAAAAATTTAAATATTTACTTTTGTGCTTATTTTTATAAGATATTTTTATGTCGTATGATTTATTTTCCCCGAGGAATACCGGAAAATTCATCCTGGGTTTTCGCGTCCCAAATGAAAGCAAAAATACCAAAGTACATCATGCATGAAGTTCCCCAGTGTGGACAACGACCGGGGGTCGGGTACTTGGCGGGTACTTGGCGGGTACTCGTCAGGTACTTGGCGGGTACTTGGCGGGTAATTGTCGGGTACTTGTTCATGACGTCATATGCCGCGTGTTGAAAGGCTTCGGCTGGATTCGAGCCATCTCTTCTATCAAAGTCTCGAATGGACGGTCGGTTGCGGCTAATAAGCAGGTTGCGGCTAATAAGCAGGTTGCGACTAATAAATAGGTGGCTCGTGGGTCGTAGCCGAATGAGCTGCTCGTTCGGTTTGGGGTCGGATCGCCGACCGGTTCAGTCCGATGACGATCGCTTCCGTCTCCGCCGACGTGGCCCGGTGTGCCGTCGTGGCCCGGTGTGCCGACGTGGCACTATGGCCTCGGAGCCGAGTGGGGCGACGGGTCGCAATGTCTCATCTCGTCCTTCTGTCTCGCCGCCCCATCATTTAGGAATTTATGGAGCCACCCGTGCGGCCGTGAACGCTCGACAGAGACCCCACGGCCACCGCGCGACCCCTTTCCGCGACGACAGCCTGAATCCCGCCACCACACGCGCCGAAGCGAGACTCATCGATAAACGCGCACAGGCGGGAATTGATGATTCCCGTCGACTCATCGCGTCTCAATTTGCATTGCAAATGGATCGTTTCGTGTTCACTCGATGCAGGTATCCATCATTTCGACCGAGCGTATTGGAAGTACAAGTGGTCCGTCCCTTATTTTTTATGAGAGTACTTTTTCTCCCCGCTGAGCCTGCGGCGACACGAGCCTTCCAAGCACGTTCGCCGTCTCCATGCACGTTCGCCGTCTCCATGCACGTTCGCCGTCTACGTGCACGTTCGCCGTCTACGTGCACGTTCGCCGTCTACGTGCACGTTCGCCGTCTACGTGCACGTTCGCCGTCTACGTGCACGTTCGCCGTCTGATACCGACCGGGACGGAACCCCTACTGCGACAAGGTCATTCGGGACCCTTTCTCGTGACCGCAAAACGCGATGAGAAATGATTCGCGTCTCGGATAAACGAAAGCGAATGTGGGGCAACGCGTCGGTCGACCTCGCGGGAAGTCGTTCTCCCTCGCTGCACCCAGGTTGCCGAGAGTCGACCGAGCGACTCGATCGAGCACCGGGCGTCGCGAAATTTATTTCCCGATTTTTTTTGTTGGTTTTCCGCTGGATTTGGGACCGAGCGCGGAACGGGCTTCGAGGCCAGCCGACGAATGTCGGCGGAAAATAAAGTTGGTCCGTTGCCCGTTGCATGGCACACGGTGCATTTATGTTGCACCGGGGAGCATTTAGACACAAAGTTTATATTGTCGCCTCATCTTATTTATATTATATTACATTTATAATTTCCGTCGTGTTCGAATCTCACCCAACTCCGTCAATTTGGGGAATTCGATCTTTTTTTTTTTTTTCACCTCGTTCACTCGAAAAACTTTTTTTTTCTGCCATCAAATTTCATAGTCGGCATCATCAGCGAGTCTCTTTCGAACGTCCAGCGAAATCGACGAGACGAAGCGAGCGCGATTTTTTTTTTTTGCGGGGTAAAAAAATTCGATTCGGCGAGCAAATTTTCCCTGCCATTTCCGAAGCGAATCGCCGACGGAAGAAAATTTTGGTTGAGTGGATGATGTTGGGCGCGAGCCGAGGCGAGAATGGCGGCCTGGGTCGGTTTCTCAATGGGCGAAGGTTTGTCGAAATGAAGATTAAATTTCACAGAAATGTTAAGCTTTCATCGTGAGTCTCGTGACCTCTCGTTCACGAGATTGTGTGAAGCGGGAGGGGGGGGGGGGGGGGGGGGGGGGGGGGGGGGGGAGTTCTTGCATTCGGATGTTCAATATCCCACAGAAAATGAAAATCAGCCTTTAGTTTAAATATTTTTGTCAGGAGGATGTCGACCGAAGTAAGAAATATCCGGTTGCCATGCTTAGCATCGAACGGACGAAGACCGGCTGATGTTTTTTTTTTTTTTTCGTCTCTCACGAATTCAGTTGCGAGGTTGGACGCTTTTCTTTCTTTGCCGTTTGCGAAATTTGCGAAAAAATATCCGCGTTTTTGCGAGTTGAGCAGGTGCGCATTTAAACACCGAAGCACGTAAATGCGACCGTGCAAAATGGTTAAATTGCAAAAATTGACAGAAGTCGCTGGTTTCGATCTAAGCATCCCAAATCTGCGATCTAAAACCGTTTACACGATCAAAGGGCAAAGGCCGGTCAAAGGGCAAAACACGATAAAAGTCCATCAGTACGTCGTACTGGGGGGAAAACAGAAACGCTTTTTCGTACCGCTGGCCGACGCATTCGCCGGTTTCGCAGATGCTAATTTTTCTTCCTCTGCCGGCCAGTTTTTTTTTTTTCGACTTTCGAAAAAATCGCGGGATGCGCGAGGCTCTTTCCTAAGGTCGCAGCGACGGACCGCTTTGGTTTCTTTCTTCGATCTTCCTCGCAGGAAGGAAAATTTTCTACCCGGAAGTATTCGACGCGCTCCGCATGAGATTTTTCGGGATTCGCGAGTTCGGGATCGGTAGGAATTTTTCTAGACAGAAAAAAAAAATCATTCTGTCCGGTGAGGTCATATTTACAGATTGAACTCAAAACACTTTCAACTGTAAGAATTTTGTTTATGTTCGAAATTTAATTTGAGATCACAAAAAGGTGAACTGGCTGTTTCAAAGTTAAATGAAAACGCTGTAACAGCTTTTAAAGTATTAATATTTCGGATGCCAGGTGATTTCACAGCTTACCGATGTTATATTATTATTGGGTATTATATTGGGCTGGTTTTGTCCCAGGTGTCCTCACCGCTCGACTTGGAGGGAGATGTGCGAGGATGGTGGAGGAACCGATTGCGAAAGTTCGAGGGCTCGGAATCGGGGATCTTCGACTTCTCCGGCTCCCCTCCCCCCCTTTGTCGAAATTCTTCTCTGAGCGGGGTTTCGCGTCTGGGTGGTGGGCGCGCTCGTTTTGGTCTTCGGTGGCTTCGGGCTGTCTGAAGGATCTGGACGTTCTGGGGGAAACTCGTCGACTCGAAGACATCTTTGATTCGACTGTCTGTCCGTCGGCGAGACGGTCGACTTCTCCGCAATCTTGTACGGCAGGGAAAGCACTTTTTTATGCAGCCGAGATGAATGCCTGGCCATTCATCTTCTTCGTGTTTCAGATTAGTCTCTTGGTCTCGGGGACGAACCAACGGTTCATCGCCTGTTGGAATCAGTACATTAAGTCTTTTTTTTGGGGGGGGGGGGGCAGTATTTATTTGCAAAAGTTATGACTTCATAACTTCTGCAAAGCAATGTTTGGTTTCGGTTACCAACATTCTTGGTGCCCACCACTAGATATCTGTGCCAACTTGGAATTCCATGTGATGCAAATGATTGTTCTGCATTTCCCTTCATACTTCACTCGCCGGTCTCCGATCTCCAAATCGGCTGGAATCTAAAAGAGTCTTCTAGCCAAGAAAAGGGAATGGGAGTGACGTGCCATATGCAAGAGGTCGACCGGAAACATGTCATTTCAAATATTTGACCCATGATGCTATTATCCCACGAGGCACTTTCCACCTCGCAAAAATACTGCTAGAAGCGCCGACATCTGCTACTCCATTCACATCTCAACTTTCACTGTTGATAATTTACTCAGATGAATGGCCCAGAGAAAGTGAAGTGAACCCCACTTGAATAAAACCGTTGTAGCAGAACCAGTGTATCTGGCCTCGTCGACGGCTTCTGGAAGACTGAGCGCGTCGAGCAGGGAAGGCACGGACGATCTCGACGGGTCGGTTGTCACCGTCCAATCGGACGCTCCATACCCAGGGGCACTGGCTGGGCCGGGTAGAGCCCTCCGCTGGAACGATGAATATCGGTTCTTTTGGGAAAAGACCGTTGCCCTCGAAGTGAGAAATCCAGCCGGCGTAGTCTTCTAAACGCGTGCAAATGATCTAGTTGAACCACTTTTGAACCCTCTTGAAGAGGGTCAACGTCTCTTGGAGACCTCTATGAAATAATATTCACTTTCTTTGGGTGGACGAAACTTTCATCGACTCTAGCTGTGTTTTCTCGGTTCCGACGACGACGGCGACTTTCCCAAAAGTCAAACTGTTCCCGAAGTGTAAAATTTTCGCGAAATCTGAACNCCCGAAGTGTAAAATTTTCGCGAAATCTGAACGATCTTTTGGCTTGGTTCCCGACAAAATAAAACGCCTAAGATTCCCATTGGTCCTTTTTTCAATCATATTTAATGATTAAATCAATGCATCGGATGGACTTCTATAAGTTAATTACTGTGCCGTTCACGCCACCGAACAAAGTTCAATTTAATGTCAGGTGCCTTTGAAAAGCTTCATCACATACTCTTCAGCCGGTTTCAGAAAAAGTTAAAAACCCTCACGATGGATCGACGGGACTAGGTTAGACAGTCTTCAGCCTGTCGTTCCTCGAACGAATCACCGTCAAATACGTGTACTTCATGCGTCACCTCACCGTGTATGGAATTTCTTGCGTCAGAATATAGCATGCTGATGTATGTTAAGCTGCACCTTTGTAGAATCTTCGACGAAGGACAAGGACTTCGACTAGGGGAAACTTGCAGTTCGAAGAGAAATGGTACACATACAGCACTTCCACTGTTCACTTCAGCATTCTCATTACAAGTCGTGAAGAGGTTATGCTCCTGTTTTTCATCAATCAACGAATAACAATGAGAGAAAGGTAGAGTTGGTTGAGGACTAGCTAGCTTTATTGGCTTTCTAGTGCAATTGCAAGAGTATATCACTGGGACATGGTGGCCCGGTCCAGAACACAACTGATACCAAAAGTCAATGGGAATGACAGCAGTAATGGTATAGCTTGGACAAAATGGTATAAGAAGTTCTCTGCATCAGAAGAACGAATCGATTACGTGACCTACGATGAATGACTCTTGGTGTGTGGTCCCAAAATCCGCTTCCTCTGCCGGTACATGTGCATCATCATGGCATACATCACTGCAATAGCAAATAAGAAATAATTGATTTGATGCTGCATGATGATCAGAGGGCATTTCAACTTCATGCACGAAGATCATCAACCAAAACAGCAAAAATACAGGTTGTCTTTAGAATGACTATGAGCATGTCTTATCATTGAATCTGAAGAAACCAAGAGGCAGATAAATTATTTGGTCACACCAAAGTGGAAGGAGAAAAGATGTGGCATTATACTCAGACCTACAAGTCGTCTATCTGCACACGCAAAATTAACAGTTACTTCAAACTACATAATAAGATTTGAACAATGCTTTGCCCAAAAAAGGCAGTGATTTTTCACAACATTTCATAACTATTGCTTGATTCAATCTGTGCAAAATCCCAGAAACATTTTTTTATTATCTGGGTTCTACTAGAATACTTGGAAAGCTTTGAACAACTACATTTATTCTCACTTAAAAAGTGAAGTTGTGACATGAATCACAAAGTGGCTTTGGTAAATCAAAATGAATTGCCGGTTGTGTCACATATGCATTCTCATTGCCAGCATGAATAAAGAGGAACAGAAATATAAAATCCATGATATAAAACAGACTGTAAGAAGATTCCAAATGAGCTGCAAGCTTTGCACATAACATGACTTTGCATTCCAGGCAATACAGGGATAAGAATCCTTGAAAGCATAAGACTGGTTCTGTATTTGCCTATAAGCTTCTGCATATTCAAAAGTTTAATTTTATTCTTTAATTCACCAGGAGTCCATGTTACAATTGAACAGCCTATCCTTAAAGAAGCTAACTAAGTTAACTAGAATCAGAATTAGCTTACCTGGAATGAAGAAGAGGAGAAGGTAGATGCGGACAACATTTGGGAAATGGAAGCTCCAGTTCCATGAATTAGGAAGGGAGACAGTGTACTTCCCTGTTTCCTCGAAATAGGGGATCCCACGCAAGAAGATCACTCCCTCACAGATGAAGCCCAGGGGGTACAATGGAATCCACATTGTGTATCGCAGCCACGTGAGGAGTGGAAAGTTTATCCCATACACATGGAACATGTAGTATGGGTACCTGCAACACAAAGTTAGTGCTCACCAAGGGACTTTTAGGATCAAATACTCTAGTCACAATTATAGTTCTAAAACAAAAAATTAATAATGCAATTTATATAAGCCAAGGGAGCAATGCCAAAGTTGCTAGTTTTCAAGGTTTTATCAGGAAAATATTTCTCTCTTAAGGACAGAATGAAAATATGATGAAAAATTAATCTGTGATTAGCTATCCTATTATGTTTGAAGGAAGATTAATATTCTGAATCCTAATTATTCCATTCCACCAGTAAGATGGAAACCTGGTTTCTAAATGGAATTAGATTAGTGTCTGTAGGCTTTCTGTCATTTGCCAATTTCTGTCCAATCAATCTTGATTTACCAGGTTTAGAAAACCTACTCATTTAGAATAATAGTTCAAGGGAAGATATGAGGAAACTACAGGTAATAGGGAATAAAAGTGCATAATGGTCAATATAATAGTGCCAGTTGGTCTAGTGGGCCTGCACCTTGACTCAGATGTCTGAAAATTATCATTAGGAACAGTGAGAAGCATCTCTGATATATAACCTTGAGACTTTTTGATGATGGATTCTCATTCCTCATATCCTGAAGATAATTCTGAACCTTAACCTCTTCAGACTCTGTAGCATGTACACATACCAAACATTAACATGTTGAAACCCTTGCTGAAATCACTTCTTTGTCAGGGATCACACTGTAAGTCATAGAAGGATTAAAGAGAGATCCCAAAAAAAAATGCATGCACCTCATTGGACTCAATCTGCATCACAACAGGGGCTTGTGAACTTGGTGCTTCTTTGAATATGGCCACCTGCGTTGTCTGCAATCATAAAAGCTATTGTTGGCCTTAAAATTATAACATGGGAAACTATTCATAAATAAAGGAATGTCTGACTTATCATAGAACTGTTATGGGATGGGTCAAAACATGGATGGCATGTACACACGCCATGAGGCATAGCACCAGTAAATTTGTGCTTCAGAGTCCAATTACATGGAACTCCTTGATCAACTGCAAGAGAGTGATATTGATCTACCTGAGGACGAATATGATTTGTTCAGGTCCACCCAGCATTAGGCTGACGAAAATGAAGAGGAAGACCAGAAAGAAGTCTAAGACATATGGACACTGGTAGATCAAAGGGGGGAAGTGCCACCCCCCCTATGATTATTTCAAGTAGATATTCCCATGCAGTTTCCTTCAGCTTCTCTCAGCATCCCCCCCACCCCTCACCCCAGTCTCTCCTGGGATTCCGTCCCCTCATCCTGAAAAATTTTCCAGATCAGCCATTGGACATGGGTGAGCCACATAAAAGGAAAATGCCTCCAGCCTCATTGCCACCAAAGGAACCCATTTCTCGTGGTGCTGTTCACATCCTCAGTACTTGGAAAAGTAAGAACTACTGGATGGAGTGCTCAGTTTTTAGGAATCACTTACCTCTACCTAGCATCAGGGTGGGGAGTGGGGCATTAAGGAGGGTGTAGAGCACGTGGTACTTCAGTTATTTTCAAAATACTACCCAGCCTAATTGATACTAATGTCAATGCAATGAATGTGACATGGCCTATAAACATTTTCAAATAAGATCCTTGATGGCTTCTAGAATCTTCTTTTACAGTAAAAAAATGCATGTTGTCAAGCACATACCTCAATGGAGGAAAACCTGGTGGCATGTACACATACCACTCCATTTCTCAAATACCAAGAAGGATAAACATATTGGCTACCTTGTTTTGCCCATCAGAGGTGGAGCTTAGACAATGAACTAAAGGATTTCAAAATTAGCACATAACTTTGCCATCATGTCTGAAGAGGTTAATAAAAAGAAAATGAGAAATGGTAACAATGTCATGTAGGTGGCATGGGGATATAGCTGAATGGTTGTAACATGACAAACTTGGGATAAAAAATGACTGCAAACAGACCCTAACTACACAACAGGACATATATCATTTGCAGACAAGAAAAGCAACATAAAGAAATAGATATATCAAGCCTGTCAATAGGTGATGTATGCAAATTGAAGTAGTATAAGTTGGCATCCTTTCACTTGCTTGGGGGGATGCAAAACCTGGATGATAAGATTTCACTGGTATTTGATTTACCTTATTTGAATGGGGAAGAAGTCACAGTGAGGTAAAATTGACAAATATGAATTACTGTATGAGAGGGAAATGGGGGAATTATTAAAGGAAAATAAGAACTACTTGGTCCAAGACTGAAAGCTAGCATCACCAGTGTCTTCACATCCTGCCCAACCATGGAGGCATAATCATAAATATCATCTCATCTCACAGCCCTGCCAGTGTGAAATAGTCAGTCAAGAACCAATAGCCTCACCTGACAACCTCAATGAGTGCATAAGTGACAAGAATGTAGAACACCACTGGCTTTATCTGCAGCCTTGGCTCTGCATCCAATTGCAGAAACAAAATCACCGACCTCCCTCCAAGCTATATAGATGTAAAAAATTCTATCAAGAATACTATGGCTGTCAAATTTTGGCTGGAATCTGAGATAGCTTCATTGCAACAAAACTAGCCAGCATTTGTATTCACATCACAAAATGTATGTTTACTTGAATTACACAACCTCGCAGCAGGAATTAATTCTACCCAGCCTATTTTTGGCTCACTTTGTTCCCAATCGAGCATGGGGACTGAAAACGGTTTTAAATTATTCTTCATATATTTTGCCAATAAATTCATTCATGAGGCATTTGCTCTGAAGCAGGGAATCCATCCAGACATTTCTCACATAAATATAACCATGGGCACCAATAATTTATCTAATTATGGCTGATGATAAAGAAAAAATATTGAAAATTTGCAGTTTGATTTGCATATTGGAAGATGTTATAAATGATTATAATGCAAAATTAAGCTGAAAAAAATTATTAGATACTGAAAGGGTGAATGCAATTGGTAATGAGAACAGTTTTGCACTTGAAGACCAGAGAATAAGAAACCTGTATGAAAGCGTTGAGGGGCTTCCCCTTGGCAATTCCCCACAGTGGGTGGATGACCTCAAGCACTTGCATAAGGGTGGCAAACTTAGCTGTCTTCCCCACACCCATCCAAGCATACTCAAAAGAATCTGCAGCACCAAATATGGTCACCAAACAGTCAGGTTTAATCTACACAACAATTCTAATGCTGCAATGCCTCACCTGGTCCATCCCTCAAGTATCGAAGGCCAAGGACTATCAAGATGTACATAAACGCAATCCATTGCCACAGGTTATACATAAAAAGGTATAGCTTCTGCCAGTTTTGCACTGCAACAGAGCAAAAACAACACCTCTCATTCATAAATGCTTATTATGAAGGAAACAATTCAATTAAAACTAATTTTTTATGAATAAGGAACATACCAAATGGGGGACCCAGCTCTTTGTTTTTGAGATCATCATAGATGGATGGATAGTCCTCAAAGATGTCTCTCTTCCTATTTTCTTCCTCCTCATCATCCTCTGACTTCCACTTGTCAAAGTCCACCTATAAACACATAAAGTAAAACTTGTCTTAGCTTATATGCTTGGGAACAAACCCTGCTATAAGGTACTGGAGGTTATAAGCTATGGCAGTATAAGCTATCAGAGGATTTACAGCATACAAATACCAGACGGAATTAATTACAACATACATGGGTTCCTCAGAGTTACTTCCAACTGAAACATTAATGAGTGAGAGTCAATAAATTAACTATTCTTTTGGTTCCATATAATTTAATATTTAAGGAGACTGTGACATGAAGGGAAAAGTTTACTCTTAACCTGTCAAGGAGTGAGTTTGGTGCTTCAATGTTTGGTGGGAGCGGTGCATTACCACCCTTTCTGAGGAAGGTTACTTGCTTTCTGTGATCACAGATAGATGGGAGGACAAAAGTTATGTGGTCAAATACAAAAAATCCTCTGTATACAATAGACAATGTCAATTCATGAAGACAACAGAGAAATGAATGCCCAAAGTTTATAACATGACTGTAAGGTTGTACTTTTAATAGGTCGTTTGCTTCATGGTATAAAATGTTGTGCACAGTTTATACTGAGTGAATTTATGAAGATAATTAGTTTTTCTGGCCTTTTGGCTCTGGCACCAAAGTCCTTCTTCTTAGGGGTAGGACATAGACTCATGATTTTAACTCCTTTTGCATTGAAGGGCAATGGATGTCCAGAACAAAAGTGTCATTGCACATCATACCATATCTAATCAACAAGTTGCAAAGAATAGCACTTAGTTACTGGAAGAAAAATTCACATCCAAGTTAAAAGTAAAAAATAATTGAACACTACAAGGCCTCAGGTGGTCAAACATTTGCTGCTGTCTGCTGAATGCACGAATCAGTGGTGTAGGGAAGAGGGGGGGTTTAGGGGGTTAGAACCCCCCCCCCTTGGGCTTCCTGGTGAATGACATTGACAGGTATATTTAAACCATTTTTTGGGAATTACACTTTTAGCTATCCCCCTTTGAGGAAACTCCTATGTCCATCCACATACCTAAGATGCCAGCCCACAATTTCTTCAAAAAGGTTAATTCTGGATAGTGGAGCTAAGTGTAGGGTTGGGGTGACTACCTGGCCTCAATCCAATTTTGCTGATTTCCTGCCTATGCCACTGGCAGGAATAATACACTGGGAGAGAAAGTATAAAATGCTTACTCTATATATTATTTATAATAATAAAAACTATTCTTGTGTAGAATTTTTCTTCATAATTTTTCCTTTTGGAAATGTGAGAAGGGGTCTTGCAAAAACAACAAAATGGTGAAAGCCAATGGTCAGAACAAGGTTCTTGATGGATCTAAACATTCTGTTGCTTTTCCCACCTCCTATGGCAATGCAGCTGGTCATTGCCAGCATCCATCCCTGACTTTCATACTTTTCCTTTAGTTTCACAGAGACAAATAAGAAAGGGAATAACTAGGGAAGAATTTAAAAAATGAAATGAAATGAATAATACTTAGGTCCCACAAGTGTGACAAATTTCCAAAAGTCATAAAATATCAAATTTTGAGGAATTTTTTTTTTTTACAGTATCTCCATTTTAAAAATGTAGCAGAATGCCTCAATTCCAACATTTTTATCAACTGAAACACTACACCAGAAGAAAATCAGGCCTGAGATTACCCTACCTAGATACCAATTCACCAGGCAGCAAACAGTGACCTAAAGGCTAGACATTGGTGCTTTAGATACCTTTAGCCATTGGGGTTTTCCTTGTCCAAAGGCAAGTAGGCGATCCCACCAGTCCTTTTCTTTCTTCTTCTGCAGCACTATATCCACTTGCCTCTCAGATACTTTCACCTTGCACTCCTGTATCACAGGACAATCATTGATGAAGATTTAAATATGTAATTTCAAAAGCAATTATAATTACACCAATTGCTGAAGAAATGATCAACAATTATTGCTATTTGTATTTTTCTTTTTTACTAAATGATTTCCAGCTTCAGGATCTCAAAAACCAGTTTGCAAGGGCTTCAAACTGCAAAAAAAATTAGAAGGGTTTCTTCAGGAGGAAGAAATAATTCTTTCCCAAGCTCAATTGCTCACGATAAACTAGACATAAGTTTACCAAGCAGATAGCTTGGCACATTAAGTCAAACCTTCAAGATGTGTGCATTGGAAAATCAATGAGGTCTTTTCAGTTCATGACTGTTTAAATTCAGGAATGCAGCTATTCTGCAAAGGCAGATACCTGAGATGATTATCAATTGAGCTGAGGCTGCCTTTGACTAACAGGTTATTAATTTTAAGCCAACCAATAGCTGGACACCTTGAAATATATTGCATCATTATCATGTCATTGAAGTAGACACAAAAAATTTCTTCTGACCTGCCTGCATCTATGACTGATGGCATACCAGTGCTCTGGTTATATGTACCATGTATGTGCAGCCAAGCAGCAATCTTGGACATCAGAACATAAAGTAACAATATACAATAATGCATCTTTTTCCTTGACATAATATTTGGGAAGCGCAACAGGGGGGCATAACAGTATTTTCCAACCAAACATGAATCACATGCATGTGAGTATCAACCATTATTTTTTACAGAGAGCTACCCTTGCCATTTGCCCTTAAGGCAGCAGACAAAATTGTGTACATCCTGAGACTGGATTAAAATTTATCTTTCATCAAACCAATGCACACTAAATGTCACTATGAAGTGATTTAGCGTTTTACTTCTAATGAGATATAAAAATCATTAGGAATTGTTCAATGTAAACAAGAACAAGGCAGACTTTTTCCCTTGACCTAAAATGACTGATATAAATGCTTATTTTAAATATATGCTTGAAGTTGATTGATATTAACCTTAAAACAAAGCCATCACATCAGTGAAACTTGCCTGAAGCAAAAGCACTTTAGATCAGAGGTAGTTCAGGGGGAATCAAGCAGATTCATTTAAAAAAAAAAACTAGAGCTCACCTGAGGGACAATAGCTTTGTAGAGGGAAAGCTTAAAGGTATACCTACTTTCCCCATGTGCTCCAGTTCCAAGGGCTTCGAACTCAACCTCTTTTTCTCCCAAATTCCATTTTGGTTTCTGAAATCAGTCAGATTTCACAATTAGACCAAAGAAGATGTGGCTTGGCTGAACATAAAGTGTAGATGTAAAGGTATAGCGTAAAGGTTGCCCTCAGTTATGCATCAATAGACATGTACACATATTTAAAATCCCTTATGTAATTCTTTAAATATGGGAGTCAGGCCTATGTCTTTAAAAAAAATCTAGTACTCTAGCTATGTTGCAATTATGTAAAAAATATGAATTTATTCTCTTCATATAGTCTTTATTTTTCCATGTTCAGAAGATGAGTCTATGTAACTATTTTGCAAGACAATCTAAATTCTTCATGTCTAATTGAGCATGCATATCACCTCTAATTTCCTAAAATTGGATGATCAGTATACCCCATCTCCCATACAGGCTAGAAAATAAAGGCCTAATTAGCACAGAAGATGAATACTAACATACTTTGCAAAAGACATTTCAAAGACTGCTTCTAGCAAGTTAGACAGTTCTGGTTCTGGTTACAGAACTTCACAATCACCCTGTTCACACCATGTGTATTGCAGTCCTTTCATCATTGCATCACTGTCCTCAATGGAGTCTCACTTCCTCATTTATTTGCAGATGCATTGAGTCTCATTTCACTCTTGCTGGAGAGAGTGAGACTCCTAGGGTAGAAATGATTGGTTGGATCAAGATCCCATTTCCATGTTGGTCAGAACCTCAATCTTCTATCAATGGGAATGCAAAAATCACAAATAGAAACGTAATTCAAAATATTCTGAAGTTTAGCAATTATTCTCAGACTTAAAAATGGGATGGTATTTTCAAATTTAAAAATAAAGGATTGGAATGATTGCAATATCACAAAAGGAGGTAATTCTGATCCGCAGGAACATGCATGTGACAGTGCACTAATAAAGAACACTTGAGAATGTCCCATCCCTGCCAACCTGCTACACATCAACTCTCACTCCGCGGGCTATAATTGCAGACGTGAAGCTTCACTGGGCGACGATGCGAATGGGAAGTGGAATGCAGCACACATGATGTGCACGGGGACGCCTTTGCTGATATACATACATTGCCCCATGAAGGGCGGATTAAAAAAAAAGTGTGCTGAGGATGGTGGGCGTCTGACGTAGCCTGGATGGACGAGTTAGGTACTGGAGGTGTGTATACTCCTTCAACTATGATCTCAGGGAAACGTCTTTTCCATAGTTAGACAAAAATTTCATTCTGCTCACCGTCGAATCCTTCAATTCAACCTTGAGCGTGATCTGAGAAGCGGACTGGGCCCAATATACGAAGGGACACCGGACGGGAGACGGATCGCTGGAAGCCGCCATGATTTTTTAAGCTGGGGTATCACTGTCGTCTGCCAAGGTGAGGCTTCGCTTTCAGTGTTGCAATAACTGCAGCTGCCCTCTTTCGGAATGTACTTTTTTGCCATTAAATATTAAGGAGGATCACAGCAAGCGAAGGAAATACTTATTCCAACAGGAAAAATTATCCTGTTTTACAATGGCTATGAAAAATGAGAGAGAAGAATGCAATCGTAGTAAACTAGGACATGAGTAAGTTCTGATAAAGGCTATTTATCAAGGAATCTCTGATAAGACAACGTAACAGTTTGGCGTTTCAACAGACGACAGATAAGGGACGCGAGTGTGAGTAGCCTGAAAGTGCGTTCTCGAAACAACGGCTTTCCCCTGCATCATCCATGTCCAAGTCGACCGTTCTCAAAATCGCCACCTTGGTGAGTTTGAAGAATGAAATCCCACGGAAACGGAAGAACTGGATGAGAAGAGAGAGAATTCTGTGCAGGTGGTGGGCTTCGTGGTGCTGATCGTGTACCGCTCCGTGATCGGCGAGGGGCTGAAGATCAGAGGTGGGGTCTCCCCGAACGCTGACTTGGGGGCGGTAATCGTCGTCACCGTCTTCACGTTTCCCGTCGTCTCTCTCGCCTATATTCTCTGCGACGTCGCTTTTGGCACATTCATGTCCGTGCAGGTGTGTGCAAGGAATTCCATCTTCCTTCCGTTTTCCTGGCCAAAATTAATGTATGCAGCGCAATGCTGGCTTCTCCAGATCAGGTCATTAATCGATGTTTCTTTAGATCCAATTTTACTTTCGATCGTTTCTTCGTCTTTTCATTTTTTTCCGATCAGATGGCATTAGGTCCAAAATCAAATTTCATTCTGGCAGTAAAACTCCGCCTCCTCAAACTGTATCAACACGAAAAGGCTCCCGAGGAAGAAGAAAAAAGCAAGTATACAATACTAAAATGATAAAGCTAAACGCACTAAAGAAGTTAAAGTAGACTAATGGAATAACCAAAGCACCGAAAGAGACGATCGTTTAAAATAGGCTAACGACCTTTGACGAAACGAAGAAATTGGGAATCCCCTCGCAGGAGTTCATCTACCACCTGACCGCCGCGGTGCTCCACTTCTTCTCCGGCCTTTTCCTCATGATCCTGTCGAACACGGGGGGCCTGGGCTGGCGTCGCGGCCGCAACACCGGCTCCGTCCTGGCCACCATGCTCTTCATCAACGCCTTCCTCTACGCCTACGTGGCCAAGATCACCGGGATGCAGCGGATCCGGAGGCGTCGCGATGAGATCCCGGAGGTGAGGAGGAGGGGGCGGGGCTTGCGATGGGGGGAGGGGCGGGGCTTGCGATGGAGGAGGAGGTTGAGATGGTATCCGCTTTTCTCTTGCGTTGGAGGCATGTTCCCGAGGAAATGACGAGGTTTACTTATCGCTTCGCGAGGTTTAGAAATAATGGGACGAGGGCGATTAGAATGAAAAGAATTTAAAAAAAAGTTTACTTAAAAGTGTCTGCAGGGGAAAAAATTAGCAGAACCCGAAGTCATGGTCAGTTTATTTAAAAAACTGATTTAAAAAACGCATATACGTCTTATACTGTAATGTATAAGACGTATATGCGTTTTTTAGATCAGGATTTAGCCTCTCATCAGAAAAATGCATGTGGCGAGTGAAATAGTTGACTGGGAGGGACACTTTGAGAGCCACGCTTACGAGAGCCGAGAGGTCGGGATGCCCTTGAGCAGAGAGAAGGACGAGAAGGTCGCATCTGCGAAGGCGATTTGCTTCCGGCGATCGGATGCTTATCTTGGATCATTCCGTGCTTGGAGATTCCACGGGAGAGGCTGAGTCACTGGATTTTTCTCTCTGAGATTCGATATCGCCGAGGTGCTGACATCTCGTGCCGAGACCAAAAATAATATTTCTCTCGAAATCGTCACGTGCATGTGCAATCGAATGCAGAAATATACATCGCATCGGGACTTGTTCTTTTTTATTTTTACTATTTATCGTTTCTATTACGAGGTCTTATTTCCGGTTGCTCTTCTGACTTCTGTTTGCGTCAAGTTCAATGGAATCGCTTATCTCGATCTTGTAGTCATAGTGACAGCAGCCGCTCTTTGATATCGCAATGGTTGCCATAGTTGAAATCGTGTTACCATGCGTGGCTGGTTTCAATGCTCCAACACGAGATCGTCACGAATATACAGAAGTGAAATCATGCAAATTTACTGAAAACTGGCAGGCATGTCACAATTGAGAGGATGAATAATGAAAGTTCTAGGTCTGGTAATTCCTCCCCTACCTATTCAATCGAACCGTCACATACGAAGCATCCATGGAATTCCGAAATATGCGTGAACAATTCCTGAGGCATTCAACCAGATTAGCAACACAAGGTAGTTGGCTATTTATAAGCGGCACCATCGCCGTTTTCCAAAAGTTTTCCTCCACTGTGCTAGGGACTCATGATGCGCTGTGATCCACCTCTCTGGCATCGGTAGCATGGTAGACCTGCACATGAGGTGAGGGGAGGAGGAGGAGGGGGGGGAAGGAGATCACCAACTAATTGTGATTGCGTAGTAGAACGTAGTTCCACAATGTGTGATTCCGGGTTTGGAGTGCCTATACGATGCGTTGAGGAAGTGCCAGTCATCCTTACGATATTGACTTTCCTGTTAGAGTGCTTTTCAGGGGTTCCCCGATTCGAGCCCAAAATGTTCAGAGTATCCTTCGTTTCAACTTACTCGAATTCGTACCGAGAAGGCAGGGCTATTTGTTGCTTTTCTTTTCTTTTCAAATCTTTCGTAATCGAATATGCTGAGATGAGCTACCTCCTTGCGCCTCGAATCGGTCCAAGACTGGCTTAAATAAAATAATCTCCAGGAAAAAATCACGTCGGAATAAATTAAACATATTGATGGAGACTATATAGAAATTTGAATAGTGAAGCATTTTCTTCGAGAAATAAAACACAAGAACAAATGCAATTTCTTCTGACATTTTTTTTGTTGCTTTGGTTTTCTAGGGACAGAAGCTGCAAGGGTACTGATCATTCCTGAGAAGAAAAAGACAATTTTGTAGCTGATCTCCAATCCGAAACGGCGTGACAATTTCGCGTCCGTCATGTATATATGATCAAAATGAACTTTCCACGTGTTCAATAAAACCATCGAGATTTTCAGTCGGAAAACAAGCCTCGCTGTATTCATTCACTTCTATCCGATTTACGGCTTTGGTGAGGAAGATCGACTGTGCATCGGTCGGTGAGCGAATCCCCGAGGGAAGACTTTCGCATTTCCCTCCCAAAAAAAGTTACAACGACCGGGGAGACTCGAGGGGAGACGACACATCACAAAACGTGAAATCACAGACAAGATATGACGAATGCGAAGAAAAAAACCCACTGAAGCAATCACAAATGGGACCACTCTGGAGATTCCTTCACGAAAGTCTCGTTGATGAACCCGTTCTTCGCCGCGTCACCCCTGAGAGCAGAGACATCCAAGGACTTACACCGACGATGCACCATTATCCCCACCTTCGTAACCGCGATATCGTGATCCTTCCACGACCCGGCGTGATCCTCCCCTGGATGACTCCCATCCTCCTCGTCCACCTCCTCACCCTTCTTCGAACAGGCACCCGGCCCGACGACGGTGAGGAGGATTGGAAGGATCACGATCCCGTGGATGGCCCCGATGGACATCACGAGGAAATTGAGGGTGAAGAACGCCATGAGGATGTAGGAGGGAATGAAGGTGAGCGGGATCAGGCTCACGATGGTGGACAGACTGCTCTGCAGGATCGGCACTCCAAGCTTGTGCAGGCTCTCCTGCATCCGTTCGTTCGGCGGCAGTCCCCGGCTGGACACGAACGCGTACGTGATGTGTGCCGAGAAGTCCACCGAGAACCCGATGCTCATGATGATGTTGATGGCGGTGACGTTGTCCAGTTCCAGGCCGGCGAGGGCCATGAACCCGAGAACCCCCGCCTCGATGGAGGCGATCGACAGCCCCACCCAGAGGGCGCAGGTCGGGTTCGGGATGAGGAGGAATGAGACGATGAGCATGGACACCGTTGCGGCCGTCACCGCCGTCACCGTCATCGGCCATACCATCACAAACTGCAACCAAAAATTAAGCAAACAATCATGCAACTATTGTAGCCAGCCTGATCGGTCCCGATGTTTTTCGTAAGCAAAAAGGCCCTGCATCTCGTGACTGCATTTCTATTGCACTAGTTATTCGACAATTTACTTTCATTGCGGGAATAGAGATACTTCCTAGTTTGTCTTCTTGCAGGAGGGGCCTATTCTCTGAGACCAGGAGCAAAATTTTACTTCACCAGTTACTTTTCTGCAAGCTGTCGAGTACTCATGTATTCTTACCACATTCCCGCAGATAGAGACAGTTTTCAACAATGGTATTGATCACACTTTCTTCCAACCAGAAATAAAAATTGGTTGGCCGAAAAGGAGACGGCGCGTGTGCAAATAAGACAGTAAACCAGCACTATACCGACATTGGTTCGGCCTTCTATGTATTTCTTTTCATCTTCAGTCAACTTTTCCAGTTTTTCCTTGCTTCCTATACAATGCACCATCACTTCTTCTCAAACTCTTCACAAACCGCATCACATCATAATCGCTCTGACTTTCCAAACAACAAAGGACGCAACGCGACCTGGTCGAAGAACTTGAAGGGACCGGAGTGGACCGTCACGTTGAGATCGGATGCATCCGCCATGGCCCGGAGGTTCACCATCACCATCACCTCGTCCTTCATCGACTGCAAGTCCTTGGTCCGGAGGTGGTACTTGGTCGCGATGATCTTTGTCCCAGCCTTGTTGAAGATCACTTCGCCTCCATACGCCCCATCCAACAGGAACGTCTGGGGACGAAACAAGATACCACTCCGCCCGTTAGAGAACAATTTTCGAAGCAATTAACCACAGCCTAATGTGAGATGTGTCCCGTGTTGAATGCATTCTTCAATGGGGTCTAAATTTGATGTGATTTGAATTTAATTTCTGTACAGGAAATGAGCAATGAAAGACTGCAGAGCATTGTAGCATTGACTATTGTATGTGAGGAACCCACCACCCATCCCCGATGGCAGAGGACACTGTTATCCTTAGCAGTTTCTTGAATACGGCGGGAATTTAGACTTGGAATTTAAAATATTTCACCTCTGGTACAGTACTGTCCTATCCTCGATGGCCATGCTAGGAATTTCTTTCTTTCATTAGTTGAAAAAACGTTCCTTCGATATCTAATTTTTTTCAGTTCATTGGTATATGCCTCCTTATCAAGGGTCTAGAGCTCACATCTTTGAGAGTGTTGATGAATTTTTCCTCGTCGGAGATGTCATAGTCCACAAATTCCCCCGTCGTGTAGATGAAAGAGAGGAAATTGCGAAGCCAGTTGTTCGTGTATGAAGACTGCGCGATGTGCGGCAGGGACTCCATCTTCTTGAGGAGGTCCTCCACCTTCCACTGGGTCTCGTTCCGGGAATAGTCCAGCGTCTCGGTGATCATCACGTCGACGCCGAATGAAAACTTGCGGAAGTGCTTGTCGTTGAGCTGCCAGTATTTCCCGGTCGTAGACATGTCGAGGGCGAGCTTGTCCTCGCCGACGGCTCCCTCCCGAAGTTGCGTCACGCCGTAGATGGCCACAGCTAAGTATCCCAGGTAACCGATCAGCACCAGCACCTGCAGCACGTCACCAATCTTACCTTCCAGTCTATTTGATGTGGAGGGGGAAACGCACGAAGTCCTCTCTCATTATTTATTGAAAAAGATTCAATATCTAAGAGAAGTACTAAGAGAAGTGGGAATGAGGAGTAAACGTAGCTCATCTACTTTTTATCCACCTCGATGACGGGAGCTGGAAACCCTCTTTCCCTCGGAAATAAATAGAGTGAACTTCTTTGCTTCCCTGAGACACTTAGTGCACCGCTCATCCCAAAATACAGCGAAGGAGCCTCAACGAGGTGAATTTCACGTAGTTGCGAAGCCCTTGCTAAGTTCAAAAGATGTCGGCGGCTACAATTGAGACAGGCAATGAGTCAGAGGGAAGCCGCGAACTCCCTCACTCCATCCTACCGATCCCCTGCCGTGCCGAACCCCGAGGCGCTCCAGTCAGAACTCCACATCACCCCTCTCAAGCGCGGCAAGGGTATCGGTGTAGGGCAGCAGGAACCAATCCCAGGCTCAGAATTTCCACGGGGTGAGGCGAAATCCGACTCATACCCCTTTAGAGCCAGTCGATGAATGGAGAATTACAACTCTTTTCCTCCTGGAATTTTTCCCTATAATCATCTCTAGGTTTAATGTCGACCTAAAGTAACTCGACTCTAGTTCTGCATCGATCAACTGACTCTAAGAAGACAAAGAAGACACGATGAAGACCTTGATCTGTGGGAAAGTGAGGAGCTTGCCGACGTAGTCCCTGAAGATGACCATGCCGAGGTGCTCGTCCACATCGTCTTCGTGGTATGGGTTCTTCGAAGACACTCCTCCAGCGCAGCATGCCCGAAACAAGGAGTTCCTGTCACCTGATGAGCATAATTTTGTTCGATTTGGTGATTAGAAAACAATCGAGAATCAGAGATGGGAATAAAAGGATGAGGGAAAAGGGAAATGTTCTAATTTACGTTTAAGCTGAATCACAGACAAGAGGCTTTCGTAGGAAAAAATAAAATAAAAAAACAACTCAATTCATGTATGTACACAAATTTCGCAAATTCAAAATTCGTGGGATTAAAGTCAACAGGCGGCGACTCGAATGTACGGAATGTGGAAAGCGACTGACGGGCCTCGGACTTGGCAGGGACCTTGAAGCAGGTGATAGAGTGGCGATTGGCTTGCTCCGCGTATCCCACGAGGGCCAGGAATCCCCCGAAGAAGGTCAGGTGGCAAAAGTAGAGGAAAACCACCGCCGTCCCTGTCGAGGTAGGGGGACTTTTTCATCTTTTGAGAGGATTTATTTTTGGGAGGGAAGAGCGCCATGTCGGAGCTGAGAATATTCCATCGATGCCTTTGTTTTCACTGGGTAGATTGCATGAAACTGTTTCAAAGTCAGTATCATGCAATCCACCCAATATCTCTAGCAAAAATGTTTCCGGGGTCGTGAAAATTCGAGAAGAGGGAAAACGCAAATCTTCAGCATGGATGTGCGATAGCGCTTTTTTTATTTTTTCGATTTTTTTTTCCAGTACAAAAAAGAAAATGGCGTCTTCAGAATATTCATCTGTCTCCAAAATGACTAAGTTGTGTAACAACGCCATCATTATCAGTCGATGGTAGAGAAACGTTCGCATGAAAATCGACAAATCACAAAGGATCAAAGCGACCCCCCCCCCCCCCCTCGCCTTACCACGAACCAAATCCTCCAACGTCCACTAACCTGTGTAAGTGCAGAAGATGTAGATGGAGGGGATGTCGGTGAGGGACCCGATGAGGAAGCTGATTCCGTCTGTGAGCGAGGTGATGGTCACGCTCACGGCTGCCTCCGCATACGTCGCCCTCATTCGGTCCGAGACGCTGTTCCGAGGATTCGTCCGTCTCCACGCTCCCACGATAACAAACGAGTCATCCAACCCGATCCCTGCAACCGACACCGGTACGATTAGGATCCTCCACGAGCGAATGGAGAGGAGACGCTAGCGAAGCAGGCGATCATTCGACCGGGGTCCTTTCATTCTCTCTCAGACATTTCCTGTGGCTTTACCATTGAATATTTGCAAAGGAAAGCCCATATATAGTTTTAGAGCTACGAGGTACGTCAATACCACATCTCGGCAAACAATTTTCCATGGTTTCCCCGGAGAAGTCTTAGAACAGATAACCCTACGAAATAAGCCAACGTTTCCATTGATTTTGGCTTCATCGATGTACGTATCTATTGCTTAATTTTTGTATATTTGCTCAGTTCTAAACTTGCGCCTCAAATTTACGACTCAACTATTCCTTTTCTGAAGAATTTTGGAACATCTTTTCAACCCAAAGAAACCTATCTACCCGCTTACGCTCGCAAATGCGCTCAGGAAGGAGGGAAACCAAGGGTATTTTATTTCACACACTGTGAAATGTGGCTGTTCGGGGCCAAAGCCCCTTCAGCGGAACAGGAAGAATAGCGCCTTCAACATAGGGGAGAATGAGGTCATATCGAAAGGAGGGTAAATCCGAACAGCGCGAAATAATCTGTTTGGAATTTGCATGACAAGCAGCCACTTGTGACGGTGCAGAGACTTCATCAAGTCAGAAAACCTATTGTGAAAGTTTCCTTGACTCGAACAGCTTTCCTCAGAAAGCATCGTTTTCATTTCGAAAAATGCAAGGAACTGCTTGAGGGACGTGGCCCTTCCTTGGCGTTGCAATGGCCATGCGCACTGACTGTGAAGAACTGCGCTGCGACCACTGCGACCGTCGCAGTTCGTTGCAATTGGTCGCATTGGAGATGCGTGGGACCTTCCCAGTCTGTCGTAGTACGCTTCGCAACAGAATCAGACGAGTCATTTCCTGTCACATCTTCGCAGTGGTTCGTACTGCGTATCTATTGATTGCAAGTTATGAAATCCTTGGATACTTAATTTGGCGGCTCTTTTGACGGAATGAGTGCTGCGGTAGATGATGCCAATCATCACCATTGAAGCGACAAACATAGATATACGAAATAAATCTTCAAGAAAGATCTCCATATAAATTATTTTCCTGATTATATTCCATTGTTTTGATCTACGAATTTTAATTTTTTTTAAGTTAAGAAGGACTTTTTCTTCGAGCGGAAAAACCTGAGTCATACCCTCCTTCTCTTCTGTTTCTGTCTTCAGCGCGATCTCATCCAGTGCATGCTGCGAAACTGTGAAAATGTGCGAAAAATAGTGTTAGGGGCACTCGTAAAAAAAAAAGAGTGATAATATAATGAACAAAGAATCAACGTGAAATTTCAAATCAAACTCGGGAAAAAAACAACCGAAGTCTTTGAGACGGAGATGAGGTTTTATCCATAGCAAAATGTCTTTGAATGGTGTAAACGCTTTTCTGAAGGGAGGGAAGAAGCTGAGTTTCACAGACGACCTGGACGTTCGAAAACTTCAAAATCAGATGAAAATATAGAAAATATGAGAACCCTGGTGCGAAGTGATCATCGTCTTATTGTCAGAATGATTGCCGAAGAACTGTGTATCAATACAGAGACAGTACTATTGATTTTAATGAAAGTTCAACAATTCAGAGACTTCAATTGGTTTTTTCCCGAGTTTGATTTGAAATTTCATGTTGATTCTTTGTTCATTATATTATCACCCATTTTTTTTACGAGTGCCCCTAACACTATTTTAGGTAAAGTGGTACTGCTCTGCAATCACTAGAAGCATCACGATAAGTTTTTTACTGCATAGACTTAAGACATGCACTGACAGGTTACAGCAATCGCCAGTAACCCAGTGTTGCCACACGCATTACAGTGTTGTCAGTCTCGTTATTTTATTGTCAGACCTCGTATATGAGGTTCATTTTATTAAGGTAAATCTTTAACACCAATTGGCACAAAAACTTTTGGTAAATAAATTTATCCAGATGCAAAAAAAAATAGTTTACAAAAATGAGGCTTACAATGGCGCAATTTGGAAACAAACCTGATTGTTCACAAAGCTAATAACTAATAGAAGAAGTCACCAACACCTTTGCTTTGTTTCGAATCACTTACACTCTCTCACATTGAAGTCGTTATTTTATATCAAAATACCAACTGCCAGGAAACCTACCATATCTCTGACATGAAAAAATAAAAAAATTCATATTTACTGTAACTTTATTTTTCGACTTTTGGACAGATTTTGACAACTTCTGAACCACTGTGCAATATTCGGATTTACCTCACCTACAGGAGTAAATCCTAATGAAGCCATTATTAGAACACATTTCCTTTGGTAAAAACGCTTGTTAGTTGCCAACAAGTTTGTCTTTGACTTCAAAACTACAGGGTGTCCATAAAGTCCTGGGCCGCCAGGAGGTTTTCAGGGGCCCGGGGCAAAACTAAACCGGAGACCCCTTGGGGCCCCCTCTAAGCCCTTTGGAGGCCCCCTTGGGACCCCTTGATACCTGGGGCCAGGGGCAATTGTCCCCTTTGCCCCCCCCCCCCTCTGGGTGACCCTGATAAAGTCTGGAGACATAGGGCAATAAAAAAAAGAAGTTGCATATAGGAATTACAATTGTTATTTGCTATTCTTCGATACAACCAACCTTCACGTCCACATAGTAGTATCAATTCTACTTTTCTTCTTTCGTCTATGCCATTTTTAGACCTTCAGATACCTACCTGAAATTAACAAAAAAAAAACAATTACGTCATTTCCCTAGGTCTCCGGACTTTACGGACACCATGTACAACTTTTCAGCAAACAGAAACTGATCATAATACGACTTAAAGCACTATTCCCGGCATACAAAGCAAATTTCCCTTAGGCGTTCGGTATTAGACCACTTTCCCCTGCTATTGAACTTTGAAAAGAGGTATGATGAACTCCATAGGCTCAGAAAATTTTACCTGCAAATATTACGTGGGAAAAGACACGTCAATAGAAGTATTTAGGTCGGAGTGGTATGACGTAACCATTCATGGCACGCCGAAAAGAAGACTGTGTCAAATATTTCAAAAATCGAATGCGAGATTATTTTTTACCCAATATGAGGAAGGGCGCGACCTTGATGAGCCCGATGAAGGGGACTTGAATGTAGATGAGGAAGCCCATGGAAGCGAGCGTAGCTATTGCGGCCGAAATCACTCCCATGATGGCCAGAATGGGCTTGGACTTGACCGGGTCCAGCGTCACCAGGCAGAGGCTGGAGAAGCCGATGAGGATGAAGATGGAGGCTGTGACGAAGGGGAACACGGCGTTGAATCCTCTCTCTAGTTGGTCTGTCGCTATCCGGGTAGAGTAGAAGTATATGTCCAGGTGCTTTAGCTCCTTTCGTACCTGATTCATCTCCGTCTCCGCCACTAGCAACCACTCGTAACCGCTGGAACAAGTGGTGGTCGTCCGATGAGAACAAGACTTTCGATCGTGGCGACAGGGTTCTTAGCGTTCGAAAAGTGCATTCGCAAAATGACAATTACGTAGTAATCGGGAATAGCTAATCGCGTGGTTGAAAGGACATCCAGACATCACATCCTGATAGTTGACATCCAGAGAGCGTGCCTACAAACGGAGTGCTCTCGCGTGAGAACTGCCAGGAGTTAATGACGTCCGAACGAAGAAATCAACATATGCTCATATGAGCGAATGGCCGCCGAGAGGTTCCGGTAATTCCTAACAGCATAACATCAATCGCCTTTCCGTCGTTCAACGTAAAGAAAGAGACCTCAAAAGTAAAGTAAATATGAACTTGTGACGATGGAGATGACGTCCTTCGGGGACCTATTCACTTGAGTTCATGTTAGTTCATCGACTTCAACAAGTTCAGGAAAATGCTTCGGGAAATAACCTGCAGAAAAATTAAAGAAAGAGGCACTCCAGATCAAGTGGCCAAATTTCAGGAACTTTCGTTGCGCGAACGACAGGAATTTGGTTGAGAAAATTCATGCATGGTGACCTCCACGACTTACGAAAAAATGTTCAAACTTCAGGGCTCTACTATGAACAGTTTTCGAGATGTTCTGCCTTCTAAGTTAGCCCCCCGGGGAAAAGTGATTCCTTGGATCAAACGGATATCTTTGTCGTTAATCGAGCGAGAAAAGTGTTGGACTTGAATGAAAGCTGAGACAAAGTTAAATCAGGTTTCACTGAAACAATTTCCCTTTTCTTTGATTCGAAGATGTTACAAATTTTCAAAACCTCGAAAAATTTCAAAAATTAACATTATCATCTAAAAAACGGGAAACACACTAACACATGAACTTTTCCAACATATCCATTCTAGCCAGTAACAATGAAAAGAGCTAAATGCTAACTTACTTTTTTTTCCAACAACGACAAATTAGTGACGTCATTCCTCGCTGCCTTCCGCCCTTACGAAAATTCCACACATGTGGACTACCCTAAGTCCACCGGAGGATTTGGATGAATCCACATGTGAATTAAGAGGATCCACATAGAATCCACACGGGGATATTCTTATGTCCACGTTAGTCCCCCTGTGGATATGTCCACATAAATCCACAACAGTCCACATTAAGTTCACACTATTCCACATGGCTAACTGTCAGTCCACATGCGGATCCCCCAGAGGATTTGGATAGTCTCCCGGTGGACTACAGGGGGATTTTTCGTAAGAAAAATGTTTAAGTTCTCCACGTCGGTCGAAATAACAGTAGGTCTCTGGACGCGTTTGGCGAGGAAACTGGGGGAGGCAAATGGAGAGAAAGATCTAGGAGTTTCTATCGCCGAAGACCTCAAGTTTTCCTCGCACGCGCAAGCGACAGTGGCCAAATGTAACAGGATGCGAGGTTTTTTATTCGTCGATCGGTTGCAAGTAGGAACTCGCCCGCTATTCTTCCGTTGCATGCGACGCTCGTGAGACCCTAGTTAGAATATTGCATCCAGTTTTGGAGGCCTACAAATAAGGGTGATTTGTTGGCGCTCGAGGGGATACAGAGGAGGGTCACAAGAATGATAGAGGAGGTTAGGGGACTTCCGTATGAGAAACGTTTAGAAGTACTGGGACTGTACTCGCTCGAGAGAAAGTTAAAGAGGGGCGATCCCATCCAGGCTCTCAAAGAATAAATTAAAATTAAAGGAATAGATGAGGTCGAGTGTGGTAGGTTCTTCCAGTTCGATGGCTGCAAGAGAACGAAAGGTACTCAACTCAAGCTGCGTAAACTCCAGGTGCGGCCTAAGTTGAGATAGGACTTTTTTTAATTGTAGAGTGGCGAACGCGTGGAATGCGTTAGACGACGACATAGTGGCTGCCCTTTCAGTGACAATTTTCAAGTAGAAACTATATGCTTTTATGGACAAGCAAGAAGGGGGGCAATGTTAACCTAAGGGACTCGGCAGTAAGCAACTAGGATATGCTAAAAATAAATAAATAAATAAAAATAACTATAAATAAAAATCACAAAAATACAAAAATATGTAGTTTTAAGAGGAATAGGCCTACCCTAAAATTAAGGAGCACTCGACCTCGACACGTGGTGTCCAAATGGACGTTATTGCCTCTTGATACCACTAAACAACCTTGAACCTTGAATAAATAAATTTGAAACTAGAGTCAAATGACAGCTCTCTCGAAGGTCTTTCCGGGGATGTATGACTAATACTGTTGCTTTATATTTTCGAAATTTGATTTTTTTTTTACAAATGAACTTTCCAGTTTTGTCTCTTGAAATATTCTATTCCACTTTCTAAGAAACCAAACCCTGGTGACCAGTGGCGTATTTTAGCTGAAGGGTCAGGTGGAGCAGGGCTACAGAGTGGGGGCGCCAAACCCCACCTAAGCGATATCAGGAGAGAAAATTATTTTCTTCAAAGAGGCGCCAAGATCTGTCCCGAGGGCACCATGGGGGGGGGGGGGAGCGGCTGTCCTCCCTACCTCCCCTCCCCCCAATAAAATGCGCAACTGCTGGTGACACAACCAGGTCTGGATATATTTTGGCAGAGACCAATGAATAGATTTTATTCAATCTTGCACTAAATTTCAATCATCTGATCACTTGAGCTGGAATACCTCTAAAACGAGCCATGCGTGGCGCTAGTGTCACGTACTTCGGTTAAGTTTTACGTCCAAACTCAAAGTCGTTCTTCGTAATCATCGCGTATCCGTGTTTCTCCACAAAGAATTTTCTAATAACTTAAATGAACTGTTAAGAGGACCAAACGTACAGCTCGAAGATTTCCTTGGGTTTGGAGGCGATGACTTGAGTCACAGCAGCCGCCTTCACGTAGGTCACCACGGCACCGTCGTCCGAGGGCTCGATCCCACCGAAAATGGCGGGAAGGACCATGACCTTCAAGGTCACTGGGTCCAGAAAGGCTGGGTAGGTGATGTTAACCTCTCCCGCCTCGTAACGGGGCATAAGATCGATGAAATTTTGGATTTCTTCCCTCGGATCCCAGCAATGGTTGCCACAGATGTCTTCGTATGTATATTCCTATGGAGTGGTGCAGAGCGATCGTGAAAACGGGCAAACGGCCTTAATTTAACCCTTTCGTGGACAGTAGGAAGTATTCTTCCAAGCAAAGCATTTCATGATAACTGCGGAACAAAATCGAGTAAGAAAGCAAAAAATATTTTCTAGATTTTCTTTTACATTCTTTGAGACTATTTGTATGAAAAGTCAGCTCTCATTAATATACCTGTATATATAATGTATATAGTTTATAATACCGAGTATTTACCTGTATACCAGTAGATTATATAGGTATACGAGTACAGTATAAGGCATATACCTCATACACAGGTGAAACTTTTTCTTAATTTACAGAATGCCTGGAATTTCTCAAAGCGAAAGCCTCCAAAAGTGGAAAAAGAAACGTAATTAATTTTGTCATTTGCATTTAAAGAAAAAATTTGCCATAAAAGGGTTAACCGAGCACTTTAACGTGAGCCACTTAACGAATAAACCTATATTTTAGACTTCACGAACCTTGCCATTAGACTCGAGTTTGGCCGATCGAAGTCTGTTAGTGACGTAAAGAAACTCGTGAAGGGTGTCATTCCTGAGCATGGTCCCTTCTTCCTTGGCCACGAAGAGGACCCTGACCATTGCCCAGATGCCCTCCTTCTCATTCAGGTCTTCTTTCACGTTCCTTCTGCCTCGGCCGGAGCGAACTTCCTTCTCTTCCGCCTCTTCGAGTTCGTTCGAGTAGACGGAGTTTCCCCAAATGTCCCATTTGCTCGAATGATCCGTTTGGAGCTTAGAGAGTCTCGCGAGCTTCTGGCGGTTGGGTCTTCCCAGCCAACTCGAGGCCAGGTCGTCCGTGAAATCGCGTCGCGTCATCTGATCTCGTAGAGGATTGGGGTCGACGTCGAAGCGAGGACTACGCCTTCTTCGTCGTTCGCTGTGGATCTTCCGTTCGAAGTATTCCTTATAGACGCGTTCCTCCGTCCACCCCCGCCCGTGTGTGGGCGTGAAGAGCCATTCCACGTCGCCTACAAAGTTATCGTTCATGTTTTGAATCCCGGTTGCGAGAAAAAGGTAAAAGAAAAGAGTCCCGAAGATGAAGGCGCTGGGTTTCTCTCCGACCGCATGGCCCAGATTCCCCAACAAGCGGCTCAACTGCCGGTCGATCCACACTGCCGGTATCACCATCTCTGTCCAAATCAGGGCGATTCAATAAATTATGGTGCAATCATTTGTGGGGCGTTGGTTCTGTGCTTTCGTCACACTCTTGGCAAACCTTCGTGAAGGTCTGAATTAACGTAGGAATCTAGTGGTAACTGAACTATAATGTGTGCGCGAAGTGAAGCATGGCAGGAGGGGGGAGGAGCAATAAAAAAATTCCGGATGTTCATACATAGCACACATAAATGAACTTATGACTATTACTCCCCATGCACCTTTTCAGAATAATTGTCCATAACCAATTCACACTTCTTCCATCGCTCCATCCGATTTTAATTCCAACAGTAAACAATTCTGGAGTAATATCGGCCCACTGCCTTATGATACCAGGGCAGTCATGTCTTTTTCTCAGCCAGAACATTATTTCTCAGAAAAGATGATAGTATATTACTGCAATATGAGGTTGGACTTGCCCGTCCACTGCGTTCCTCATCTTCAATGGATTCCCGCCCGTTGCGAAATCGTTTGTTCCATTCGCACACACGATGATCTGGAAGATCACGAAGGGTGAGAATCCATTGAAGAAGACGGACGCAGTGGACGACAAGCTGTGAAGAAGAAACTGCCCAGGCACTTCCTGAGCCAGTGCTCCGAGCTCGTCACATGTTTTGGGAGAAGTTTGTCGCAAGTTGAGGTAACTATTCAATATTTCGAAGGGGATCGTGCAGAAACCTAACTTCTGTGCATTGTTTGCTAGCATGAAGGCCGATCTGAAACTTGTGATGTAGGTGTAATATTTTTGAAAGTTTGGGAACTTTTCAGTCCCCCTTGGGGAAACCAAATAAAAAATTTTTTCTCCCCTATCTTAATAATAGGGCAACCTCATAACTGGATTTTCATGCAGACTCCCCAGCTACATTTTAAAATTCAGTTTCCTGATTAAGCGAAGAGATCGTGTGACAATCTTGTGATCTTCGATCGAAAGCAAGGTACGTTCGAGAACGGAATCGTTAACGCGTTGAGATGTATTTTACGTTCTAGACACACTGCATGATAGATACCATCAGATTGTGATGAATTTTCAAAATGAATCATTGGAACGATTTTGAAAAGTTTTTCTTTTGCAGTTACTAAAAGTCTACAAATAAAAAAATATAAATAAAAAACTGAGAATGGAAGGAAAGGCAAAATACAAGCCAAAGTCCTGGATGGTGAAGGTACCATAAAGGCGTTTTTCGACCTACCCAAGTAACACAGCATGTTGATGAAACGTTTCCGAAATGTTGCCTATGTTG